TTTATAAAATAGTTTTCATAGACATAGAAAATATTGTTTAAGGCAAGTTATTTATTTTTCATTGGCTCAAGTTAAAAAATATAGATGTGAATCATTACCCTACATTTTTTTAATTGGATGAATGAAACATTTTTTTCAGTGTATATGAATGCTTATGAATACTGATTCACATCTCCTTCACCCCTTAAATAACTAAAGACTTTTCTTCCTGAAGAAGTGCAGTATCTCACCATGTCGTATTTGTTGGGTCCAATTAAAGTTACGTTAGTCGGTCCCTCACAAAATCGTAAACTTTTGCTAAAAGTTGCAAATTCAATTCTCAACACTGTTCTCAACAACATGTTTACTAGTAACTGACCAACATAGAAACAACATTTTCATACACTATCATAAACAACTCTGGTGTGATATAGCAAACATCACTGCCATGCATTTAAAGAGAAGCTTTAAAGAGATAAAGTCCTGTGACTTGTGAAAGGCTGGTCTTTTCCTGTTGAAGGCTGTAGGCTAAAATTTCTTTACATTTACAACACAAAGCAAGGTGTGATGCTGCAGCTATAGGTGTTGCTTTGGCCAATATGCTTATTGTGTTGCAAATAGGAGTAAAAGCACAGCACTATATAGCACAGTCTCTGGCGCATTTTACTGTCCTGTGTTTTCACAATAGGCCATTTGGTCTACTGAGACATCTTTTAAATGCAAAACCATGCCACTAATATAGCATGCTAATATGACTCGTTCCCCCATTATCGGTGTTTACAGACGAGTCATCGTGAGTCAGTGAGTATCCACTGATCAAATTATGTTTTTTTTTTTTTCTGTTTTAAATAAAGTGGAATCTTTCTGGAATTTGAAACTGAAACTGAAGTTAAAGAGGGAGAGTCTTGATGACAAACACACAAAACATGTCAGGTGTTTTCCATCAGCTTCCTGTCTTTCTTATAAACTTGTTTGAGGTTGTTTTTAAGGGCACTGTTTGTCATGTTCACATAAGTACCTCCAGCAATACGCAGAGGATGAAGTATGAATGAACAGCTGTAATTTTTTTTTCTGCTCAGCATGTGCGCTTCTGGCACTCTAACTACTCACGAAATTTCTCCATGCACTTCCTGCTTTTCCTGCCGTGTTTTCCATTCCCCACACCCCACTCACACACACACACACACACACGCACACACACTGCGTGTAACCAGTTCACAAATATTCACCGTCTTGCATTATGCCTTAAACCACCAGATGGTAACACTTATATAAGAATAATATTACATAATAATTAGAGTTTTGACTTAAAGGGACTGAACCTCTTACTTATGGGACATTTACACAAGAAGGTATAGGTAAATGAATGAATGTACAAACTCAAACAAATTTGGAAAGAACCGCATCTCCCCGGTTGCGTGTGGGTTTCTCCCGCGCGTCTCAGCAGTTTGAGTCACACACACTTGAACATTACCATTCGTACACAAACACGGTGGGCTGGCTCGTGGACAGAGAGTGGAGGAGAGCGAACATTTATTTTCTGAATGAAGGCAGAGGAAGGAAGTGGAGCACAGAAACAATCCCCCGCCATTTTTCAAATCTGATTCACTATGACTGAGTCAACTCTGAGTCAGGCGAACACAGGAAACGGTGTGATTCCCTCAGAACAAATCAATGCACGTTTGTACTAAATCATAGTAAACAGATGTAAATCAAAGTACAACGATGTAAATAAATGCCTTAAAGCTATACCCTCATTTTAATGTTATTCATCATCGGTAATTGCACAACTGATTCCATATTCGAGCATTATGGCAAGCACCTGTCTGTTCAGGACAGTAAAGTTAAGCACGATGGGCTTTTGAGTAAGCAAATAAGCGAGTTTAGTGAGTTTCCATTCTATAATAATAAAAGCATTTAGCCTAACCGAAAACCACAACCAATATTTTTGCAGTGTTAATCGACACACGTGCACGCGCCTCAAGACAGAAGCTCTCTCAAAAAAGGTACAAATGCTGTCACTGGTGGTGAAGTACCTAAAAAAAAGTCATTATTTACCTAAAAGATGCGTATTAGTATCTTACATACCTACAGAGGGCCAGTACCATTTGAAAGCGTACCGCCCCAGTGTACCTTTTTTTCTGAGGGTGTGCGTTTATTTTACAGTTTTTCTCGATTGCTAACACACAATTCATGAAACAATTCACCATCACACCATCACAATCTCAAAACTACACACCAACTTGTACAAACTTCAAACTTACAGGTCAAAATCAAATATTTGAGTCAAAAACATTATCTTTTGTCAGAATCAATCTTTGGCCTCAGATGAGACACAAGCACGACAAATACACAGACTGCACACTACTTTAGAGAACACTAGTGAGATCAATTCAAAACACTGTTACAAAAACCTCCTTTTGGGAAACAGGAAACAGGTTGCTAGTCAATGACTGTTACAGTATACAACATAAATAGAGGATGCAGATACAGTACAATTCAGCAATAAACTTTAAGAAACGTTTACTGTCATTAAACTACTGTGAAGAGATCTTACAGTAAATGAAAAGCACTTCAAGAGAAAAGTTCAAAGAGCAAACAACTGAATATACAGTAAACACACATTGGAATATACTGTCAGTTACTTTACAGAAATAAATAAATAAATAAATAATGAACGAATGAATGAATGAATTAATAAATAAATAAATTCATTCATTCATTCATTCAGCATCCTTTGCCAATTTGCATTACAGTATTGGTAGTATCCTTATTTGTTATAGCAGTTTCTAAGTCTTCTGACAAAAGACTTCTCTGCCTCCCCTAGACAGCCGTCTCTCTCTGATTACATAACTTTTATTACTTGTAATGCATTACCCCCAATACTGAACAGGACTGTGTACATATCGTGATCAAGAAGAGAAAGTTGAGCATGTAATATTACATTGCAAGGCAGAGACAGGTTTGCACAGAAACTAAAGGATAAATGTGATAGCCTTAAATTACAAAATCTCAATTGTTCCCCATGAA